CTTTCTCCACGGCCGCTCTGCTCTCCGGCCCTTTGGCCGGCTGCTATTCGCCCCAGCCGCATCCTCATCCCCATCCGCATCCTCATCCGCATCAGCCGCCGGCGGCTTGCGTGCCGGGTTCGAGTCCGGCAGCGGCGGCGGCCGCTGCTGCCGCCTGCCTCGCCAGCCTCGTTGATCAGGCTCCGGATGCGGCGAGACTCGGACCTGGGCTCAGCGGCCAGTCCGAGGCGGCGAGGCCCTCGGGACTCGAGCCCGGCCTCTTGTTCGCTCGGCCTGACGGCCTGTTCTCGGCCGTGGCTGCGGCCGCCCAGTCACTGCTGCTCGGCGCCGCGCCGGTCTCGGACGCCGGACCCGTCGGCCCGGCCCTCGCCGGCCTTCCGCCGCACCCCAGCCTCGCCGGCCTGCCGGCCCCCTCTTGGCTCCTCGGCTTGTCGGCCGCCGCTGCCGCCTCGCTCCAGCCGCCCGGCGAGCCCGGCCGGCCCGACTGGGCCTCGGGCTCGAGTCCCTTTGCCGCCGCGATGGCCGCCGCCGCAGCCGCCGCCGCACACGTCGCTTTCGCACCGCCGCCGCCGCCGCCGCCGCCGCCGTCTCTTTTGTCGTCGTCCGTCTCATCCGCCTCGTCGTCGTCGTCGTCTTCGGCCGCCGGCGCCTGTCGGCCCGACTCGTCGCGACCGGCCACGCCGGCCGCGGCCTCGAACCAGGGCCCGAGCGTCCCCTTTCCGGCCAACGGGCTGCCAGTGCTCGGCAGGCCAGAAGGCGAGGGCACTCGGCCCGGCGCGCCGGGACTCGGACTCGGGCTTGTTTGCGCCAACGCCAGCGGAGGCTATCTCGCGACGGCCGAAATCGTCCACATCTGCCAACGTCTCGAGGAGGCCGGCGACCTCGACCGACTGGCCCAGTTCCTATGGTCGCTGCCCGGCCAGGCCGGGCTCTGGGACGACCTGAACCGGTCCGAGGTGGTGTTGCGCGGCCGAGCTCTGGTCGCCTTCCATTTGGGCCAGTTCCGCGAGCTCTACGCCATCCTCGAGCAGCACTCCTTCCCGAAACACTCGCACGCCAAACTGCAGGCTCTCTGGCTCGAGGCCCACTATCAGGAGGCAGAACGCCTTCGAGGCCGGCCCCTCGGACCGGTCGACAAGTACCGAGTGCGCAAGAAGTTCCCGATGCCCCGCACCATTTGGGACGGCGAGCAGAAGACGCACTGCTTCAAGGAGCGTACGCGCAGCCTGCTTCGCGAGTGGTACCTACAGGACCCTTATCCGAACCCCGCCAAAAAACGCGAACTCGCCAACGCCACTGGCCTGACGCCCACGCAAGTGGGCAATTGGTTCAAAAACCGACGACAGAGGGACAGAGCCGCGGCAGCCAAGAACCAGTAAGTCGCTCAGTTGAGTTTTGCACCCTTCAAGGCCTGAACTGTCGCTAACTAACCCCTTGCCTGTTTGTATGTATTTTAATCTGCGATTTTCGAGACTGCTACAACTTGTTGGCAGTCTCCAAAGCCTACTTGTAGACGCAAAAGAAGTAATGTAGTCGTTTTTATAGCAACTATGACCATGCTTAATCGACAATCACACCGAAAATGTGATATGAGAAAATGCCTGACCTTTAGTGAAGTTCACATCTGCCGTGTGGCACAAGAGTACTTGTGGGAATGTGACGTAGTGGTTACCATTTCGAGAGTATACGATGCATTTTCATGGTTCGAGTCCCCCTGGGCTTGTTAGAAGGCCTAATGGTCCACTCTGGAGGGAAACACCTTTTTTTTAAGCAAGA